ATAGATAACTTCGCGTAAACTAGTGCGTGGTTTGAATCCAAGGTGGTAGACCACTAGGAACGGCAGTGTTTCACATACCCTCTCCATCTGCCGCTAATTGCTATGTGATCATGCTGAGTGCACTTGTGTGCGCCACGTTTCTAGGTGACACTGGGTTCCCCATGGAGAGGTATAACTAACGATCCGCATTAGAGGCAAAACACCAATACCATGATTTGTTTGCGCAATACTGCCAGGTTGCTCAGGCCAAAACAGGCGTACTTAGGAAATTCACACACAGGGCCTTCGGCTAGCCGAAGCCTGACTCCGAAGGCAGCGGGGCGGTGTGAAAACCGCATTCAATTGAGGGCCGGTATCCAGTTCATCGGATCATACGCCCTTTGGACGGGAGCAAATGTCAAAGGTGCCCAAAACACCTCTATACTCAGTCGAACCGGTTTGTAATCAGGGATTTTAGCCAAATTCCCTAGGTGAACTGCCGATGGTTCATCAAACCTGTTATAGCCCCGGGTTTTGGCTTTTCGTCCTTTTACGTACGTGTGAAGGCATCTCCACCACTAGAAGGCAGTGAGTAGAGCCTCCCCAGCAGAGACTAATTGAGACGCTTGGTAGTATGCGAGGCTTTTTTGCAGTGCAAGGAAAGGGTGGCCACCCACAACCCCAGATTACCACCGACCATACTGGGAGATCCAAAAGTAATGCGCTCCTCGGATAGTTTATGTTTCATGGAGATCATCACTATCTGCTTTTATTGATGCGCCGGAAATTCAATTTGACGAATCAGATGCGCATGAGGGTCGGGTTGAACTGTGTCGCTATACTTTGGCCACAGTTCCCGACAGCGTTTCTAAAAACGAATCAGTAGTTCACTGCGCTCTAATAATCTCGTTTTCAACTGTTTTTCTTTCATGGACGTGTTTTCTTTGTTTGATAGGGGAAATCTCAACGTTTTCCCACACCCATACCCTCTTTGTTCTACTTGAATCAACATCGTCTCTAAACTTCTCCCTGGAATCATACTCCGCCGATTGTCTGCCGCACGTGAACGGTGCACGCGTGAGAACCAGGCTGGTTTTAGCACTCTGCCGATTGTCTGCCGCACGTGAACGGTGCACGCGTGAGAACCAGGCTGGTTTTAGACCCGGTCGTGGTTGTATCGATCACATCTTCACTCTGCGCCAAATTATAGAGCAACGGAATTCTTTTCGTAGACCCACCATCTCTGTCTTCCTAGATCTGAAGGCGGCTTTCGACTCAGTCGACCGCTCTAAACTCTGGCGCTGTCTTTTTCTGAAAGGTGTGCCGAAGTCGAGTCCGGGCTTACAGCACTTTTTCGCCCGAGTTCACCACGGAAAGTGGTGTTCGTCAGGGTTGCCCTCTCTCTCCATTTCTATTTAACTTTGTTATCGGTCTGATTATCGAAACAGCCTTATCCTCGTGCGAGGATAGTGGTATCAGGTGGCAGGCTGTCTGACCTAGAGTACGCAGACGATATTGTGCTACTAAGTGAAGATCCAGGTAAGTTGCAAGCTTTCTGGATAGCTTGAGTGCTAGAATATTCATGTCCGGTGTGCGTTTTGCATCTTCAAAGTGTAAAATGTTGCTCCAAGATTGGGTTGGTCCAGCACCCAGCCTCACTCTAACTGGGGAAGTGATAGAGCAGGTAGATAAGTTTTTGTTAGTTAGGCAGCTACATTTCACCCGGTGGAGGCATCACGGATGAAGTGTCAGTTCGCATACAGAAGGCTCGGTTTGCCAACTTGAGACATCTGTGGCGCCGTCGCGACATCTGGCTGTCTGTGAAGGGTCGAGTGTATGCCGCGACAGTTCGACCAGTCCTGCTATACGGTGCAGAAACTTGGTTATTAAGAAAACAGGATAAAGACAGAATGTCGGTGTTTGAACACCATTGCCTACGCAGCATTGCATGAATCTGGTGGGGTAGCCGGATGAGCAATGCTGAGGTTAGACGCAGAGTTTTGGGTACCCACGGTCGCCCATTGGAGCAAGTGGTCGACCACCATAGATTACGTTGGTTGGGACACGAGTTACGCATGTCACCAAATAGGTTACAACGGTGAACGATGTTCGCCCAAGCAGACATCGAGTGGAAAAAACGAAGGGTGGTCAAGCTAAGACCTGGCATGAGGGTATGAAAACCCTAACCAGGAGACTGGGTCACATAGGTCCTGTTAGGCTCCCTGGATGGGGACCTCGGGATGATCGTAACCGATGGTTAGAGACACTGAGTGATATGGCTGGGTATCGTAAACAGTGGCGTTCGTGCATCTTCTCAATCTCTTTGCAACCTCAGACCACTGAACTTCTCCATTTTCTTTTCGACTCCACTTTCATCTTCCCTTTCTTCTCCTATTCTTCATACAAATGGGTTGTAAAAAGACAGCAACCAAAACCGGCGCACGAATATGCGTGGTTAATGGTTGTACAAACTGAACTGAACTGTACTTTGTGACTACTGAACAGGTGTTCTGTGTTTGTAATATGGCTTGCCAGATTGGATGAGCGGGATTAAACCCTCCGAATTCAGGAGAACAACCAAATTGTTCTTTGCGAAAGTTCACGAAATGGTGATTCAATGTGATCGTAAAATACCGATACCCGATACTGTTTGGGGGTGAGGGAGCTGCAAAGTGAGAAATGACGAGGCATATCGGTGTACGAAAAAGTGGTGATCAATAGACAGTCATCATCGTCATACAGCAAGATACAGTGAAGCGAACGTCACTGATCGCTGCCAAGCTCGCAATGTTTTTTTATTACACAATGTGAATTACAGTAAAAGGGGAAATCTCCATCAACAAGTCGTATACTGTAAAAGGAAGATCAGGGGAACATTCACGTCAGATTCAGTCTAATGATTCTACGTTTTAAAAGTGTAAAATTGTACTTTGGGCGGGGGAATAGCAAGTGGAAGGGTGTTCCAAAGTTTGGCAGTTCGGGGAAAAAAGAAGATCGAAGAGGAGAGGTACGACATCTGGGAACAGAAACCCTATAAGGATGACTAAATGCCTGTGTACGGAATGGACGGGTGAAAGTTGCAGAAAGAGGAACTGCCGAGGCAAGGTCCAAAGAACAGAAACCAAATTAGTAGCGCTAGAACTGGGACAATGAAGCAACTACCCGACGGTGAGCTAACGACTCTAGACTGGGTGTTAGGGAAGGATCATTGATTAGCCGGATGGCCTTTCGTTGAACACGATCAAGAAGGGAAAGGGTGGATAACGTAGCCCCACCCCACACAGGACTACAGTATTCAAGAGCAGGACCTATTGTACTTTGTACAATAGAAGGAGCTGAGCTGGGGTGAAAAAACGTCTGGCGTGAAATAGAAATCTAACCTTGCGCGCAGCACGAAAAGCAATCTTAGCTGTAAAAAGGGGACTAGCATAAATAAGAAGTTATGGGCAATCCAAGAAGAGAAATAGAGTCTATGGAACGCCGTTGGATGGAAGTAAAAGATCAATGGGGGGGGGGAGGAGAATGAATGGTGTTTTAAGGAAATTGAAAGAAGAGAGGTTTTGGAACTATTGAATGAAACGTGGTTTGTGATGCCCCAGGAGGGGATGTGTTCAAGATCGGAGTCCAGTGACAGATTGGTTGCACTACGGTCACCATCGATGTTGGTTCGGACATGACGAGCAGTGGAAGGTGTCATCATCAGCAAAAGAATGGATCGGGTTGTCAAAAAGAAGAAACTTGATATCCACGCTACGAGCGCTGGAGGGAACCCGAACATGGATAGTTTCGCCAGTAGACCTTCGTGCCAAACTCGGTCGAAAGCTTTTGAGATGTCAAGCGAGACCAAGTGTGTTTCTCCGTAGTTACCGATTGGAGCTGACCAGGATTGTGAGACAAGAGCCAGCAGGTCACTGGTGGGACGCATGGTCGAAAGCCATACTGGCGGTCGCTCAGCAGTCCTTGACGTTCAGGGAACGTGCGTAGCTGATCAGAGAAGATAGTTTCAGATACTTTCGAACGATGTGGGGGAGATGGGTCTGTAATTGTTGGGGTTAGAAAGGTCGCCGTGTTTGGGAATGGGAAAAATCACGGCGTGTTTCAAGAGGGTTGGAAAGGAAGAAAGTTGGAGGAAAAGACTAAGAAGACAACGTAAAACAGGAGCCATCTCGGGAGCACACATTTTGAGGACGATGGGTGGAATACCGTCCGGACCGGGTGGTTTGTTTGCGTTTAGAGGGCGCAATGTTTGGCGGATTTCTCTAGTGCTGATATGAGGTATAAAAAGGTTGCCAATAAAGAAGAAAGTAGAGAAAAATGGGTTAAGATGGAATTGATGGTAAACTGGGAAGCAAAAATCTCAGCTTTCTTGTTTGGTTGACATAAAATCACCAGAGGAATTACAGATAGGGAGGAAGTTGGAAGGGCAGAAATTACAGGGAATTGCTTTGGCAAGGAACCAAAATGTTCGGCTACCGGTGGCGGACGAGACCAAGTTTCTGGCTTCACAGCGAACGAAGCGTTCTTTGTTTCTCTGAATGGTCGTCGAACATCTGTTCCTAGCTTGCACGAAGCGATGGTGGGAGAGGGGCTGGGGTGGGCGAGCGGCGGAAGGCTGAACGTTTCAGGCGTACAGCNTACAGCAAGGTCAAATGCATGGTTAAACCACTCAGGGGATTTGGGTTTGTCGGGTTTGGAAAAGTGCGGAATAAAAAGATGCATACCTTGAAGAACAATGCCGGTAAAGATGGAAACAGATTTATAAACATCTGGAGAGAAACAGCAATCATTTCAGGGATAAGCAGCTAGGAAATCACGGAAACCGTCCCAGTTGGCTGAGTTGTAGCACCCGAATGCGTGTCTCGAGGTGGGTAGGAGGCTGAAAACCTAATAGAATAAGGATCTGATCAACCAAGAGAAGGGAGGGTATCAATATCTGATAATGAAAGAATAAGCCGTAGCGATAATTAGTTTGAGGCTGTGGGCACGATCGCCAGCTCGATCAGGGACACGTGTGGGCAGATCAATTAGTTGGCTCAGATTGTTGACCAATGCGGAGTTTTCGGCTCCGCGCCCCAAAGGAGAGGTAGCAGGTGAATGTGTCAACCAGTCCTGATTGTGAACGTTAAAATCTCCCAAGATGGTAACGTGGCACTTGGGGTCGGTTGTAAACAAATGTTCAATGTTCGAAGATATAAAATCAAAGATGGACGAGTCGCCACTATTGCGGGGACGATACAGAACACAAAAGTAATGAATAAAAGAAGGAAGTCGGAGTTTCAGCCACATCAGCTGAAATTCACGATTGGAAAAGTCAAGTTTTGGGATCCTGGAGGCGGCGACTGATGGGTGAATAAAGGCGCAGACACCAGTTTTGGGTGGAAAGGAGGAATGGAGAGTGTAGTTGGTGAATTGAAGGTGGGTGATGTCTGACGAGGGGGAGATTTGTGTTTCCGTCAAAAAGAGGAAGAATGGAGAAAATGGTGCACAGAACCAATATTGCGGTTCAGTCCGCGAATGTTGGTGAGGGCGAGGAGTGCGTAGAGCGAGCGAGAGTACGTAAGCGTTTGTGGTTTTTGTATTGTCATGTTTATGTTGTGAGGAAACCGGCAATCATGATCCTGAAACTTGGAGTGGCGGACCACATAAGGCTTCAATAGATCAGGCGTAGTAATGAGCCGGGCTACGGCAAAGCCGCCTACCACATCAAACTCGTAGTGTACACAAATCAAGTGATAATGCACAAAATGGAGAGGGATTGATCCTAATTGGAGGGAAGCAAAGAAATTGAACCTTTTTTATATTTTCACACACATGAATCCAGGCTATGTACCAAACAAATCATGGTACAGTTATCTTTAAGAAAACCGTTCCACGATTTGCATGTGGGCGGAATGCTGCCAGGTTGCCCAGGCCAAGGCAGGTGAATTTTCTTGAGGAATCCACAATCTGAGCCTTTGGCTCCTTCGTCAGTCGGGCGAAGTCCAGTCTCCTGGTCCTCCAGGTTGGGGGTTCAACGAGACTTTTCGTTTCAGTCGGTAAAAAGTGGTGGAGAAATAATTGATCCAAGTTAATGGGTCTCCATTTCGCCTTGTGGCTAGGGTCTCGTCAGAACTAAAGGCTTTGTTTGAGAACCCTAATCGTTCTTCTGCTTAGTGGCTGGGTACTCTAGCAGTATCTGTCCATCAAACCCCAGTGCATATGCATTGCAAGTTTGGCAGCGATCAGTGAAGTTCGCTTCCCCTTATTTCGCTGTCTGATGATGATGAACTGCGAATAATGAGTGGCGCGGTAGACGACAGCTAGGCATACGCAATACGTGTCCTAATTAGCGAAGCTGGCTAATCTGAATTAGATGGGACAAATTCTCCACCGAATCATTACGAAATATGTGACGCCTTACCTCAGAGTTTCTTACACGCTAGCTCCATCCAACCTGCGCCAAACTACGTAACCGTCGGCAGTTGAAGGCATCTAGACGACGGATATCTTTCACGCGCAAATTTAAGGTCTCGCAACCATAAAGCAGAACTGACCTCACACTGGCGCACTATACACGACCTTTCAATTTCAACATCGGTACATATTGAAATACTCCTAAGGACTACAATATTGTAATACAAAAAGCGACGGTAAAATGAAAATTATTCACTGAACGGTTTCAATTTTTGCAACCGTTAACCGTGCACTTTCGTGAGCCGGTTGTGGTTGCCCAATTGGTTGAAAGAGCCAAATGAACACTGGAATGTTGAGAGTAAATTCAGGGGGAAGATCGAGAATTCCTACTGACTAGGAATGCAAGAATATGGAGTAGATGCACGAGCACCATTATTTACGACATCCAGCCATATCACTCAGTATCCCTAGTCACCGGTTACCATGATCTCGGTGTTCCCATCCAGGGAACCTGATCGTACCCATGTGACCCAAATGCCTGGTTAGGGTTTTCATACCCCCATATCAGTTCTTAATTTTACCGCTCTTGACTGACTACAGGGGACCAAAAACATAGTGACAAATCGGGAGGTGGTTTCTAAGGTTTAGTCCGATCATTATTTCGGTGTCATTCTCTGTGGTGTGCAGATGTGACCAAGGAACAAAATATCTGTGCATTATGTCAATTTGTAGCCTTGTATGTAGAGAAAGATGTAGAAGATAAAATCAGTTAGAAAAAGTATGCATAATCTTTTCACTTCTTCCATTGCATTTTTTGCACTTATATGAATACAAATTTTCTTGACTGCGAAGTTCATTNATTGGAGGTTTCATTGGGTTTGTGGCAATTGGGAATAACCGCACTCGTTTGCTTCTGATGCCAACCCGTGAAGGCTGCAGTAGCATGTATTCACAACCGTTCTAGACTTTTCGGCAACTATTGACTTACAGATTCACTGTATTTACGGTACCTTATCTATTAATGATAATAATAATACATCATATTACTTTATATATATATATACATATATATTTTATTCCAAACAACTAGTTACATGATAACTGAATAAGTGCTATGATATATATGGGGTATCCATGAGTTGCAAGGGCAGATATGATAAATTACGGAAATGAAATAATATTTCTGCTATTTTTCGTTGTTTTTCTATCCCCGATATGTTTCCCTAGTTGGGTCCGCACGATCGTGTGGTCGTTCACAGTGTGACCATTGCCCGAGATGGGGGAATCCTTGACTGGGACGATCTAGTGCGCGATGTGTTGGATGATCGTGAATTGGTAATTGACCAGTTAACTTCTGTTGCACGCATTTTTGTCGGACTGATCCAGGTCATGATGATGATGATGATGATGATGATGATGATGATGATGATGATGATGATGATGATGATGATGATGATGATGATGNNTCGCGTCAAAGTAACTAAAGCTTGAGAAAACCTAACATGAAGCGAACCAAAACAATCGGTTTCGGGTGAAGGATAACTTTGTCATGTCCCTTCCGTGGGTGCGAGGATACAAGTGAAATATTCCCTTTCCACTTCTCCAATGTATCCCTTATTTCTATCCAACTCATTGCTTCTCATTTCCCCTGTTTTTACGTTCACACTATGCTTGTTCTCAGGCTGGTGTGATATATATATATATATATATATGAGTAGTATGTGAATGACTCGACTAAATTTCCCTGGAAGCATGCAAATGGTTTCGCGGTTCTGAGCGCTCGTCACTTATGCGTCTGTCTGATCGAGGGTATGCAGACGACATTGTGCTACTAAGTGAAGATCCAGGTAAGTTGCAAGCTTTTCTGGATAGTTTGAGTGCTAGTGTATCCATCTCCGGTGTGGCGAGCGATGCTTGTCGAGGCAGGTAGCGGTTAGAAAAAAATGAAGTGCGGTCAAACTAAGACCTGGCATGAGGGTATTAAAACCCTGGCTCACATGGGTCCCGTTAGGCTCCCTGACTGGGGACCCAGAGAGCATGGTCAACACTGGTAAGAGACACTGAGCGATATGGCTGGGTGTCGCAAACAGTGGCGCTCATGCATCTACTCATTATTCTTGTAACTTCATTCTATGAAAATGTGCTATCTTTCGCTGAATCTGCTCTCAACATTTTAATCATCGTTCCGCTATTTTATCCAAATAGGCAACCAAAAGACCAACCAAAACCGGCGCATGAAAGTGCATGGTTGATGGTTGTTTAAACTTAACTGATGCGTGTCCGAATATTTCATATCCGTTCATTGTTACACTTGTAATGAAGAAGTTTTATTTTCGATACAAATATTTCATGTACAACACCGTTCAGGAGAGGCCTTTCGGAACAATTCCTTTTATTTCAGTTCCAGTTTAAACAACCGTTAAACATGCACTTGCGTGCGTCTCTCTTGGTTGATTTCTTTTGGCTGTCCATTTGGGTGAACAATAGGAGCAAAATAGGAAGGTTGAAAATAGAATCGAAAAGAAAATTGAANAAATTGAAAAGTTCAGTGGACTTATGATGCAAGGAAATTGAGGTGCACGAACGTCACTGTTTACGATACCCAACCATATCACTCAGTGTCTCTAACCATCGGTTACGATCATCCCGAGGTCCCCATCCAGGGAGCCTAACAGGACCTATGTGACCCAGTCTCCTGGTTAGGGTTTTCATACCCTCATGCCAGGTCTTAGCTTGACCACCCTTCGTTTTTTCCACTCGATGTCTGCTTGGGCGAACATCGCTCGCCGTTGCAACCTATTTGGTGACATGCGTAACTCGTGTCCCAACCAACGTAATCTATGGTGGTCGACCACTTGGTCGAACTGCTGCCGCATATACTCGACCCTTTACAGATAGCCGGATGTTGCGACGGCGCCACAGATGTCTCAAGTTGGCAAATGCCAACCGAGCCTTTTCTATGCGCGCCGACACTTCATCTGTGATGTGTCCACCAGGTGAGATATAGCTACCCAAATAACAAAATGTATCCACTTGCTCTATTACTTCCCCAGTTAGAGTGAGGCTGGGCGCGGGACCAACCCAATCTTTGAAGATGCAAAACGCACACCGGACATGAATATTCTAGCAGTCAAACTATCCAGGAAAGCTTGCAACTTACCTGGGTTTTCACTTAGTAGCACAATGTTGTCTGCGTACTCTAGGTCAGACACCTGGGAGTAAATCGATACCACTATCCTCGCACGAGGATAGGGCTGTTTCCATAAACGTTCCTTTAGCTCGTACTCGACTTCGGCTATGAGTACAGAGGGATCGCAATAATAAATTGAGCGATTTTGTCGTATGCACAAACTGAAAACTATCACTCAGACTGTAAGTTGTTTATTCTTTCCTGGTTGGTTCAAACAACACGCCTAGCCATTTTTCCTAGGGCGTGATAAGATAAATTATGCGTGTCTGGAATTGGACGTAGTGCCAATTCCCGTTTCTCTATCTTGAGTATTTTTTTAAAGCCTTGGTGTGTCCCTGCTGGTAGTATTTTTTTTAATTCCGCTTACTTTATGACATCGTTTTGCTTGAGTTGTCGCACTGTTATCTACAATGTGTTTTCAATGCCAATTTTCTTATCTCGTTCGTCTTCATTCCCTGTGAATTTTGTTTTGTATTGAAGAAACCTTTCATTTTCTCACAAACGCCGAGGTCCGAAATCGCATTATCCGATATCCTCACTTTCTCTCTCTCTCTCTCTCAAAATTTTCCCGCCGACAAAAGTCCCTTTCGGTTGTTGAGTGAAAGAGAACTTAAACTTTTTAGCGTTCACACTAAATGTAGGCTCTAGTTCAAACAATTAACTGAATATGAGAGTAATGAAGAATTTTGTGTTTGTTTATATGATGAATGCATCGTGGAAATGAGGCCTGAGCTGAAAAGCTGGAAAGCACTGAACGGTTGTTTCGACCTGGTTGGGTCTCATCAGTCGGGTCGATGGATTTGCATTGCTGATGAGACCCAACCAGGTCGAAGTTCAGTTCAGTTTGTACAACCATTAACCACGCATATTCGTGCACCGGTTTTGGCTGCCCATTTGTATGAAGAATAGGAGAAGAAAGGGAAGATGAAAGTGGAGTCGAAAAGAAAATGGAGAAGTTCAGTGGTCTGAGGTTGCAAAGAGATTGAGAAGATGCACGAACGCCACTGTTTACGATACCCAGCCATATCACTCAGTGTCTCTAACCATCGGTTACGATCATCCCGAGGTCCCCATCCAGGGAGCCTAACAGGACCTATGTGACCCAGTCTCCTGGTTAGGGTTTTCATACCCTCATGCCAGGTCTTAGCTTGACCACCCTTCGTTTTTTCCACTCGATGTCTGCTTGGGCGAACATCGCTCGCCGTTGCAACCTATTTGGTGACATGCGTAACTCGTGTCCCAACCAACGTAATCTATGGTGGTCGACCACTNCCACTTGCTCCAATGGGCGACCGTGGGTACCCAAAACTCTGCGTCTAACCTCAGCATTGCTCATTCGACTACCCCAGCAGATTGAAGCAGCTGTCCAGTGCTTCCTAGCTTTTCAGTTCACGCCACATTTACACGATGAATTCATCATACAAACAGATTGACTGAGTACCTCTTCAAATTATATTTCCCAGTTCCCTTTGTCGAAAATTTCGGGTGGAGTGATAACACCTCTAGGATTGTCTTATCAAGGTTCGCCTCTTTGCATGCTTAGGAATTCCTTCCTGAGAGATACGCAACTTTCA